ATAACTCCATAATATCTTACTTAAAATTAAAGACTTGGCTGTATGGCTTGGCAAAACATGTATTAAACCAATATGTTACTCTGCTCTCTATCCTCAAAATAAACCATTGGAACAGGGGGTAAATAAAGAAGTGGGGAGAGAAGTTGGGAGGGGAAAACCTGGGAGAGAACGAAGGAGAGGGGTGACCCTATTCAAAAGGAAATGTACTCATTACCTGACTCATGGAACTGTAACCCCTCTGTACATCACCTTTATAATAAAGTTTGTTCCCTATTGTCACAGTTTTTTTTAAATTTCTGTTCCTTTCAACTTGTATATAAGTTTATCTGATTTGGGGAAGAAAAGGGGAGGCCCAGAAATGGTGAGACAAAGGGTGAATTAATTGAACAGCGATACTCTCTAGACACTATTTTGGAAATGAACTGTACAGCTTGGTGGTATGGGGACTATGAAGGCGACGTGGGAGAAAACGAGGGAAGGGGCAACGCTGCTCAAAAAGAAATGTCCTCATTACCTTACTTATGAAATGTCCTCATTACCTTACTTACGTAACTGTAACCCTTCTGCACATCACCTTTGCAATAAAATTTAAATTAAAAAAAAAAAGGAAGGCTTGCTCTTGCTCCTTACCCCAATATTTATTCAACTATTTTTTTTCATTCATAGAACCCTGAGACTTAGAATAAAAATAAATAAAATAAACAAAGGAGGAGGCTACAATGCTTGATAAAAAATGTAATCATTATCTTGCCCATGTAATTGTAACCCCTCTGTACAGTATTTTCACAATAAAAAATAAATAAAAATTAAAATAAATAAATAAATAAAGGAAGAGGTGTCAATGTAAAAAAAACAAAAGAAAAAGAAATGTACTCATTAGCTGATTTATGACATGGTAGTCCCTCTGTACAATAACTTAATAATAATAATCAAATTATTAAAAAAATAAATCATAGAACACAGCCTTCTCTCACACCATCCCTGACTTTTCATCAATGATACTTTTTTGTTTTCTTTGCAATCAATGCTCCCATGTGGCTTCTGTACCTTTTATATCTATAAAACACTCTCAACCCATCTATTTTTAGGTTTAATTGACAGTATACTCAAATATCTCCACTACATTCTCATTTCAAATGTTCACTCTCTTGCTCCACTCTCCATAATTATTTTAACAAGTGGACTATGTTATTCCTACCTTCTTAAACAACTTAGTAGTCCTGTAGAAGATGAGAAAGGAAACCAAGGAAGTCTCCTATGCTGCTGATTAGTTCACATTACTACTACTCCACCATGAACAAAATAAACAGAAATGAAATTATGTATAATTTAGTAATGGCATATTAGGAAATTAGAATCGATTTTTTTCCACTAAAGTAGACTAGAAAACTCAGACAATATTGTCTGAAGGTAGGAACCAAAACTGTGAAGACTGCAGGATCAAGTAGTAAGGGATTGCGCTAGAAGGAAGGTTCTTCTCTAAGTTGAGGCCATCAATTACAGAACAGGATCTGGGAAGATGAAGGCCTGAATAAACTTCATACATGTTTATTTGGCAATGAGGATTTACACTGGATATCAGATTCTTTCAGCTTAAGAGATTTGGAGATCCAATCTAGGTACTGTACTGAGCCATAAAAAGGTTTAAAAAAAAAAAAAGAGTTAAGGAGGAAATAGAAACAGCCAGATGCTGTAATGCCTAAAACAATGGTGAAGCTTAGTGTTTTCGTGTTCCATTGAAAATACACATAATTGAAGGAATAAAATATCCTGCTAAGTTCAAATAATATCTATATGCATATTTTGGACACTGGTTCTCGTGTTTGACTTCAGGACATTGTACTTGCTTAGCAGATGCTCTTCCCTGGATTTGCTTTGTTTATGTATTTTAGTCTCACATTTTTGTCTGGAGGTGACCTTAGCGAAGAATCCTTCTATCTCTACATTTTACATACTTGGGATCACAGGCATACACAACTATATCTGGCTTATTGGTTGAGGTGGAACCTTGCTGTGTTTTCCTGGGCTAACCTTGTATCCCAAACCCTCAATCTTTGCCTTCTGTATAGCCAAGATTACATGTATGTTCCATCATGCCTAGCCTACATTTTTTTATATCCAGTTGGTAGAATGGTCTAAAACAAAACTGGTCAAACAAGAAAACAAAGCAATAGTCATTACAGTAATGATTGTGATGATGATAATAAAAACACACCAAAAAGAGAACAAATAGACAAGATGATTATATTAATACATCATATTTAGCAGACCAAATAAAAATAGTATTTTAAAATTATATATCTCAATACAGAAAATAAGAGTGCATAATTATTAGCAAATTCCTAAACAAAAAGGAACTATCAGGACTTGAAATGAAGTGTCTTAAAAATAGAAGGACTTAAGAGAAATTAAGCACAAATGCATAAGCAATCACTACAATAAAGGTAATTTTAAAAAGAAAAATAGTAATGTGGCAGTGAGAAAAGTAGCATGAACGTTTAAAAATATTGACAAGTAATTTCAGAGGCAATGAAAAGATCTTATATAACCATGACATTGGAGATTAAATATAAAAGAGTATAATGCACCAAGCAAGGAAAATGTTTGATGAATAAATTACAAGAAATTTTGTAAAAAAAATAATTGTAAAAAGTCAAGTCAAGGATTCAACAATCAAAAAAGTCTTTTCAAAGACAAAACATCAGTGCAAACCAGGGAGCAGATCCATCCCCTTTAAAATAATTAAAAGGTTCCTAGTTGAAACCTTGGAATGCAGAATGGAATAAAATAACATAACTAGTAGTCTACTAAGAAAAAAACCAAATTTAAAATTTTATGGCCTCAAAATACCACTATAATCAATATGGACTGCAATTATTTTAAACAAGTAAACAGAAGAAATTCACCACCAAGAAATTACAACAAAGGAAGCATTTATGGTTACTCTGGACAGAAGTTAAATTGTTGTTCATGGCATTTTGATGATGTAGGAAGGAATGAGTAATGAAAGATAGTAACTATGTGGAAATATTGAAATAGATATTTTACGAATCAATAAGAAAATACAAAAAGTTGAATATATAAGGATATATGTACATGTGTGGAAGCATATAAATCTGAATGTGGCTAAATAGACTAAAATTTCTAAAGGATTTCTAAATTCCTTTACGAGGAGAAAGGCAAAAGTATTACTTATATTACATTTGGCTAGTTAACACAAATGCCCCAAGAAAATGGCTAAAGTTACAGTAAACATTTGTAAAGAATGAAGGCAGATCAGATATAGTGTTATAATAACAGCAAAATCCCCATGGAAGATTGCTCTCATAAAATATCCATAGCTCAGCTATCATTAAAAGACAATACATGTAAAGGGAGTAAATTATATAGAATCAATAACAATCTTATGTTAAATGTGCATAAATTTAGCAATACACTTACTCAAAAAATTTGGCAGATTGCCAGAAGAGAAATTTTATGCTACTTGAAAGGGGAGACAAATGTAAACTAAAAAACTATTAAGACCAGGCAAAGAAGGATGGTGTTTACCAAGTTGAGTTTGCAGGCTCAGTTTAAACCTGGTAAACTTCATGAAATGAAGGAAAGTAGCAAATTACCACTTCATCACAGCCTCCTGAAATATAACAACACTCAAAGAAAATCTACACAGTAATCTTGAGAGATCAAAGAAAGAGTCTCCTGAAACCAATTGTGACTGAGATGGATGCACTGAAATATGATGTAAAATATCTACCCGATGTTGAAAAATAAAGAACAGAGATACAATTTGCTAACGAGTTTTATAAGGGAACTGATGCTGAGAACTGGCAAAGGAAGCAGGTAGAAAATTGAGGCTTCCATAAAAGAAATGCAAATCAAAACAACATTGAGATATCACCTCACTCCAGTTAGAAGAGCAAAAATCAAGAACTCTAACAACAACAGATGCTGGAGGGGATGTGGACAGAAAGGAACCTTACTTCATTGTTGGTGGGAATGTAAACTTGTTCAACCACTTTGGAAAGCAGTATGGAGGTTCCTCAAAAGACTCCACATAGAGCTCCCCAATGACCCAGCAATCCCACTTTTGGGCATTTACCCAAATGATCACAAACAAGGCCACACTAAAGCTACCAGCACAACTATGTTTATTGCAGCATTATTTACCATAGCTAAGACATGGAACCAACCCAGATGCCCCTCAGTAGATGAATGGATCAAGAAGATGTGGTATATATACACAATGGAATTCTATGCCTCCATCAGAAAGAATGACATTTCCCCATTTGTTAGGAAATGGAAAGGCTTGGAAAAAATTATATTAAGTGAAGTAAGCCAGGCCCAAAGAAACATAGGTCCCATGGTTTCCCTTATTTGCAATATCTAGTATAGGTATGAGTCAAGCGGAAAAAGTCAGAGAATGTGATGTTAGGAAAACGAAACCTCAAATATGTATTTTAATGTTTTTGTTTCTTTCATGCATGTGTTTCTAACGCATTTATAAGATTATTTCTTTGTTGCTTTGTATGTCCCTCCCCCACAGTGTAACCCCCGCTTTCACTATATTTGATGTCAGTATAACATGTGGAGGAGATGGGAACAAACAAGTCTTTTAAGGATTCAGGTGGACCTGTTGCAACAATGAGAAGTACAAAAAGTCATGTCAAAACCAGCTTTACAATGTCGGTGGGGGGGGCGGAGGGGGGGTATGATTGGGTGGGAGGGAGGGGGGAGGCTGGGAAGGGAGGTGAAGGGTAAACAAAGGAGGAAGCTGCAATGCTTGGTAAGAAATGTATGCATTATCCTGCCCATGTAATTGTAACCCCTCTGTACAGTATGTTCTCAAATAAAATAAAATAAAATTTAAAAAAAAAAAAAAGAAAGAAAGAAAATTGAGGCTTCTCTGATACAGCCTCACCTTGAAACTCAGTTTTCACCACAGGTCATTCTGCTGATGGGCCTTTCATCCTTGCCTATGGAACTTCATACTATAGTTGGGCCTATTCTTTCCCCTTTCCTTGCATATTCAATACAATCTTCTTCACGTTGTCATATATCTGCTTGGTTCTGACCCCATATATGACAGGACTGAGCATTGGTGGAACCACAACATAAAGATTGGCCAGGAGTATATGGATATAGCGGGGGACATTGCGACCAAAGCGATGGGTCATGAAGGAGAACAGGGCTGGCGTGTAGAAGGCAAGGATGACACAAACATGAGAGCCACACGTGCTCAGGGACTTGAGGCGGGCTTCTTGAGATGGGAGCTGGAACACAATACGAAGTATCTGGATGTAAGAAAGTGCAATGGCTATGATGTCAAACACCATATTGCCTATGGCACATAAGCCATAAACAATATTGACCTTGATATTGGCACAGGATAGTCGGGCAAGTCCCATGTGTTCACAGTAGGTATGGGGAATGACATGATGCCCACAGAAGGGCAATCTCAAAATCAGAAATACAAATGGAGTGACAAATATAATTGCCCTCACTAACACACCAACACCAATCCCAGAAACAACCCTGTTGGTGAGGATGGTACTGTATTGCAAAGGGTTGCAGATGGCAACGTAGCGGTCATAAGCCATTGCCAGAAGGACAGCTGATTCCATAAGTGTGAATTTGTGGATGAAAAACATTTGGGTGAGGCAATCTTTAAAGAGAATCTCTCTGAGATTAATCCAGAAGATTCCAAGCATCTTAGGGATGGTAGCTGTGGAAAGGCCTAAGTCAATGGTGGCCAACATGGCCAGGAAGTAGAACATGGGCTGATGTAGACTGCTCTCAGCCTTGATCACCCACAACAGAGTGAAGTTCCCCATGAATGCAATCATGTACACAGCACAGAAGGGAAAGCCCATCCAGATATGAAGACTTTCTAGTCCTGGGATCCCCAGCAGAAAGAAGGAGGAGGGGTGAAATTGGGTCTCATTGTGAATGAGCATTGTGCTTGGGAATGTGTCTGTCCAGTCTCCAGAGGTGCATGCTCATTCAGTCTTCAGATTCTTAACATACATGTGGTTTGCTATACCTGTGGAGTCCTGAAGATAAAACAAGGGATGTTATACACTTGTACACATTTTCTTAGGCTTGTGATCCTACTAGTTTGAAGTTTGGTGTACAAGAGCTCCTTAGATAAGCGATATCTCAAAAATCTTTCCCTGGAGGGATTTTATACAGTGAGTAAAAATGAAATATTTTGGACAATATAGTCTCACCTTCGTTCTTGGTAGCTTATCAAGAACCTCATCAACAATATTGTTCATTAATTACCAGACTTCAGTATTCTCTTCATTAGCTACCATCTTTTATCCATCAAAAATGAGATCTCTTAGAAGCTTGAATAAACCTGGATTTCTTCTAGCCCTACATATAATGCTGAAAATAAATTCCTTCTGATTAAATGCTAACATATATAACATTTAAGGTAACACATGGGATGAGTAACACCTCTTCCATACACACAGGGGTTCATCAAATATTATGCCAAAACATTAACATCACTTTAAAGAACTTGATTTGTTAATATTTGATCATGCAATTGTAAAATAAGATAGGGGAGGAAGCCATTAATTGTTAATGAGCTTCCTTTAAGGCTCAATTTGAAACAATGATTTTAAGATAATTAATTTTGCATATTTCTGAGTGATATAGCAATCAAGGACTTTTGAAAGATGTGCCAGAATTGTAAAGTTATTATAATGAAAGATCTGGGAAATTAAATGAAGTAAGAAGGTATTAAATGAAACTTGAAGAAGGAAGCTATTAAATGCAACTTGGAGGGATCAGCCAAATGACAAGAGAATTAAAGCAAGAACCTGAGACCCTGGTGACTGGCAGGATACTGAGGCAGTCCATACCGTTTCTCCTCAGTGATACCAGGGCAACAGAATTTTGAATACCACTGAAAGGTCTGCTGGTTGTTAAATGGAGGAGTAAAAGTAGGATTCACTCTTGAAAGCAGAATTTTCTATGAATTTCGTGAGTGGAGAGCAATTTAGAATCAACAAAAGATCTTTCATCTAGTGTACCCATATGTAATACTTTCTCAATTACTAGACTTTTTGTTTGTGTGCTGATCCAGGGGCTTGAACTCAGGGCCTGGGTTTTGTCTCTGAGTTTTTGTGCTCAAGGTTAGTGCTCTTCCACTTGAGCCACAGATCTGCTTCGGGCTTTTTGGTGGTTAATTGGAGATAAGAGTCTCATGGACTTTGCTGCTTATGATCATCAAATCTCAGAGCTCAGATTACAGGTATGAACCACTGGTACCTTGTTTAGACTACATGTATTTACTTTTGGTAATAGATACATAACTGAAAAGTGATGGGTAAAATTAAGTTACCTATCAGCCTTCTTTACCACATTTTGTGGCTGATAGAAGGCTGATAGGTAGCTTAACTTTACAAATAACCATATAATCCATGATTGCAAATAAAATGTGAGGAAAGTCTGTCTCCTGGATAACTTAGATTTATCTTGTAATACTTCAGGATCCAAGCATTAGAGAATTATCCAGAAACTGTTATGAATAAACCACATGGAAGATAAAAACAGAAGAGAGGATGCACACAAAAAATAGAATACAAATAGGAAATATGGAGAAGTGAGCAATATTTTTCAGTGATACCTATTTTTATCCTCTTGTGGATATTATCATGTCTTAAAGATTGCTATGGAACATCATGGTTAAAGCCTAAGTACATGCTCAATGGATACATGAAGTTGGGATAGGAAGGGTAATTTCTGATGATATGATCTTCAGGAAAGACAAAAATCCTTTGTAGTAGAAAATTTATGGAGACATGAATGTTTCAAAAGAATTGTTAGTTATCTTGGTTCTTATCTTTGAAATCAAGAATGACTATGATCTTAGGTCTAAAATCACTTTGCTTTTATCACTCCTTTCCCAAGGTATTCATTCATTTGATGTTATCTTGGGAGCACCCTGATATTTTCTGCTTGACCCCATTCAGAGCTTATCCCTTCCTCTACTGTGCTCCTACAGGTTTTAATACCAATCTATACTATAGAACCATTACAATTAACACTCAGAGTAAAAGAACTATAGATCCATTTCTTTGATGAACATCGATGCGAAACTTCTCAACAAATTCTGGCCAGTCAACTTCAACAACTCATCTAAAAAAAAAAAAAGATTATACACTATGATAAAACAGGATTCATTCCAGGAGTGCAAAGCTGGTTCAATATACACAAGTCAATTAATGTAATTCATCACATCAATAGGTGCAAGGGCAGGAATCACATGATCATCTCAACAGATGCAGAAAAAGCGTTTGACAAGATCAACACACATTTATGATGATAGCTCTGGAGAAATTAGAAATCCATAGAACATTCCTCAATATAATAAAGGCTGTATATGATAAACCGACAGCTTGCAGCATACTAAATGGCAAAAAGCTAAAACCACTTCGCCTAAAATTAGGAACAAGACAAGGATGTCCACTTTCTCCACTCCTCTTCAATATAGTATTAGAATTCCTAAGTATAGCAATAAGACAAGAGTCAAACATAAAGGAGACCCAGATAAGGAAAAATGAAGTAAAACTCTCCCTCTTTGCAGATGACATGATCCTGTATTTAAAGAACCCCATGATTCCACTCCCAAATTATTTCAGCTGATCAGAAACTTTGGCAAAACAAGGCACCAGTGGCTCACACCTGTAATCCTAGCTACTCAGGAAGCTGAGATCTGAGGATCACGTTTCTTGCCAGCCCGGGCAAGAAAGTCCATGAAACTCTTATCTCCAATTAACCAACAGAAAACTGGATGTGGTGCTGTGGCTCAAGTGGTAGAGCACTAGCCTTGAGCTAAAGAGCTGAGGAACAGCGCCCAGGCCCAGATTTCAAGATCCACAACTGATAAAAAGAAAAAAGAAAAGAAAAAAAAGAAACTGGCAAATTAACAGGGTATGAAATTAACCCTCAAAAATCAATGACTTACTTCATTTAATATATAGTTTTTCCCAAGTCTTCCCATTTCCTTACAAATGGGGTGGTATCATTCTTTCTTATGAAAGCGTGTGTGTGTGTGTGTAGCTATAGATATAGATATATAGATATATCGATATAGATATGTTTTCTTGATCCATTCATCTACTGAGGGACATCTGGTTTCATTCCAAATGTTAGCTATGGTAAATAATGCTATGATGGACATAGTTGTGCTGGTAACTTTAATGTGGCCTTATTCATGGTCATTGGTCATTTGGGTATGCCCAGAAGTGGGATTGTTGGGTCATAGGGAAGCTCTATGTTTAGTCTCTCCATACTGCTTTCCAGAGTGGATGAACAATTTTACACTCCCACCAACAGTGTAGTAGTGTTCTTATTTGTAATAATTAGTATATTTCTAGGATAATCCTAGCAGATGAGCAGAATACTCAATAGCTATGTACATATAAGATGGAGTTAAGTGAAATTAACTCCAAGACATGGACACAAGAGGGTTTTCTTTGTTGTTGTTCTTTTTAATGTACTATGCAATGTCTTGTTTCTTTTGTATTTTTTTCCCTATGGCTTACCCCCTGTTATCACTGTATTTGATTTTAGTACCCGGTGAATTGTATATACATTTATCTGAAGTAGGAAGGGAAGGGGAACAACAAAATGGTAAGAAAAAAGACTAAGGGGGAACCAATGCAATAATGATACAAGAAAATATGTTGAAAATGATGTGTACAACTGGGGGTGGGGGGACTGGCGGGAGGGAAAGAGGGAGAAAAATGAAAGAGGGGTAACAAGTTGGACAAGAAATGTATTCACTACCTTACTTACGTAACTGTAACACCTCTGTACATCACTTTAACAATATTTATTTTAAAAAGAAAAGAAAACAAATCAACACACTGTTGCTTTTACAAAATGTTCCGTTTTTACTCATTGTAAAACGGCTGATGTAGAATGGCTTTTCGTTTTGCCAATAATGAGAAGAGCGAGGCTGAATTCAGGAAGGCAATTCCTTTTATAATAGCCTAAAAAAAATACCTAGGAATTAACCTAACTAAAAAAATGAAGGACCTCTATGATGAAAACTTTTAAATCCTGATAAAGGAAGTTAAAGCAGAACTAAGGAAATGGAAAAACCTCCCATGCTCCTGGATTGGGAGGATTAACATCGTGAAAATGGCAATAATGCCAAAGGCTGTATTTAATGCAATGACCACCATTATCCCAGTAGCATTCTTTAATGAAATAGAGGAAGCAATCCAAATTCATATGGAATAATAACATACCCTGAATAGCAAAAACAATCCTTAGCAGAAAGAACAGTGCTGGAAGAATATCAATACCAAACTCTAATTTGAAATGTGGAATAATTAGAGAATATCTCCTGACAGTATAAAATATATTAAACGTATTTACATTACAAAAGTCTGCAACTACAACTGAAGGAAAAACAATGGATGAGTCTTTAAATCATGAGAGAAAGAAGCCCCAAAATGAGAAAAATTAACCAACTGCCTAAAAAAGTCAAGGTAATTGTTACCTTGTACAGGTTCTGATAATTGAGATACTGTTAACAGATGTTTTGTTTTAAAATTTTATATGCTGATTAGTATGTCTGAAAGTTTCTTATAATTGAGCTGCATATATGTAATGTACACTTTATGAATATGAAAATCCAATAGAATGTTCACAAGTATGAGTGCCTTACTGATATGGATAGTATGTATTTTTCATCACATATTAGAATAAATTGGATCAATTTAATAATAAACACAAAATGATGAATGGCTATAAGCGCATCATAGGAAAGACACAACTTGAACTTTAATTTTATTAACATTTCTCACATGTTTATCAAATAAATATTATTGAATGTGTTTTATTGCCAGTAACTCTTTGCTGTTGTTATACCAATACGTTTCCCTTCAAAATTCAAGCTTATTCTATAGTGATCATAAAATAGTTATATAGA